GCCCTCAGCAAATTAAAAAGTCTAATGAAATATGAACCACAAATTAAACATCTGCTATTGCACTTCTTAATAGACATAGGTTCAAATATATAACACAGTATTCATGTGTTAATAAGCCTAATTTTCAAATAAAATCAGTCAATTAAAGTTGAAAACATTTTCGAACATATCTTAGTTGATAAGAAAAAAGCCCAATGACTTATTTACGTAACAACCTTGAAATAAACCCTTCATAATTCTCCTTATTATCATCAATCTGATGCTTCTGTTTTAAGGAATGAGTTGCCAACACAATAAATGAAACCATATCAGAGAGCTGTGTGTTTTTCTCATCAATATCAACCATAATTTATCTACAATTGATTGATTGTTCTAACTTTTAACTTATGAGGCAGTATACCTCTAGTGAGCGGGCCCAGCCCTTGGTATATTGTTCTATATGTGGCCCTTGGTGAAAAAAGTTGGACACCCCTGGTCTAAAATAACATTCCCGTTCCTTCTACTTAAATCCAGGTCTCACGGTGCAGGTGGAAGCCAAATATACTGACCAGGTAGAGATGAACTGTCAGAACCCGTGTCTTGTACCTGTTAATACTTCCTACATCTGGTACAAGAACGGACAGATAACTCCGGAGTCAATATATTCTACTGGTTTTTTCACACTTGGTTCTGCAGACAGATATTCCTGTGCTATTAAAGGATATGAGGACTTCCCTTCTCCTCCAGTGTGTGAGTTTACCAACACACACACTGACATTACAATACCATCACAGTTTCAGACATATCTCTCAGGAGTCTTCTTAATCTTAATATGGACACCGCAGTATTGTTTTACAGAAAACCATAGCTAAACTGTGAGCTGTAAGTAGGCCATCTAGTTAGTTAAAAACAAAACAATGACAGGAAATCCTATACTTACCAAATAGATCACAAAACAATTGAGTCATAATCAAAGCAATTATTCAATTGAAATACTAAATCAACACCTGGAAGTCCATTTGGATCAAATTAAATATTTAACTGAGGATAACAGTGACGTTAGCTTTAGATTAATCTTTGTGTTTTCCAGGTTTCAGGTGCACAATGAGTAAAAAGACAGAAAATGATGAAGGCCCACAAGATCATTTAAGCGGGTAAAAGAGCAGTAAGGGCCTAGTAATAAGTATATATATTGTATCAAATAGAGTTGTACAGATCACTGTTAGTATAATCATTCGTATAATATTAATCTTTTGACGATTGATTACCAGATACAGCATCCATTAATATAAAAGGTCTCAATAATCTCACACTGATAATAAAGTTGATCTAACAGGCATTCTTCCATCCTCCACATTTTCTCCGTTATGCTTTTAAGTTTAGTCACATGAAAGGTAAAAGTTGCCTTCTCATAAACCAGGAAATGTATTTGCATCCCCCCCAGTGAAATACATACAGTATATATTTTAATACAGTCTGTTAGTCTTAATGTAATTATATTCATACGCAGATGTTTATTTACAAAACAGAACCAGGAAGTGGTAATGAAAAATAATTGACAGCCTCGCAACAACTAGAACTGAAGACAGTCAGGACTGTTATAATATAAAGGGAAGAATGTGTAGAGGTGTTAACAATTAAGGACTACAATATTAGATTTGTATTGGCTGTCAGTTACAAAAAGGAAACGTTTAATGTTTTAGAGCTACATCTAAAATAAATGATGACATTAAATCATGCCAATAATATCAATTATTTAAACTATTTTCTCCTCCAGATGCTCCAAAGCTTCCCTCTGTGTCAGTGAGTCCCTCTGCTGAGATAGAGGAGGGCAGTTCAGTGACTCTGACCTGTAGCAGTGATGCTAACCAGCAGCTAACTACACCTGGTAACAAGGAGAATGAAGACTCTCCAAAGCTTCAGGACAGATCTTCAACATCACTGACTTCAGAGCTGAACACAGTGGGAGTTATTCCTGTGGAGCCCAGAACAAGTTAGGACGTAGTAACTCCCACCTTTCATCTGATTGTTGTGGCAGGTAAGTTCTCTACATTCACCAGACCTGATTCACTTTATAATCTGAAGCAACCCAAGCTTATTCAACATGTCAGTGTTCAGGGAGGAACCTCCATGGGGTCAGAGGTCGATGACACTGACAAAGGGATGTATCAATCTACTACTGAGGTGTATCACATATGTGTTCATGTTTCTAGGGAGTTCAATAATGTCAGTGAATATCATCAGGACGACTCTGGTGGTCTTGATGCTGATCTCTGTGTTTTCTCCTGAGTCTGTGGATGATGGTACAACAATAGAAATACATCAGTTCACCCACCATGCATCATGATGTAGTTTCAATGTTATGAATTTCATTTTGGTAAAAAACTGTATTTGTTGTTGTATTCCAATCCAGGAAGAAGAAAGCTCTGCGCTCCACCACTGAAGCACATGAACCTGAAGATATAGAGGTGAGAGAAAGACGCCCTATACGACAAAAATGTTTCCCGATGTCACGAGTAGAAATGTGTTCATTAATGCTCTGGAAAATCTACTTATATTTTAAATAAAACCCGCTCCATAGCGGCTGGATGCATTGTAAACAACGTCATAAACTAATCTACTTTGAAACAACATTAGGGCCCGAGAACGGAGCGCTAGGACCCAACGGCGTCCCAGCACGAAGTGCGAGGAACCTATGGTTATTGGAGGAATTCTTCTTCTTATTATTATTAGTCGCCATTTTTTCCTGTTTTTGAGGGCTTTAGGATGCTTCAAAAGTTGTATAATTTTGCACGGACGCCAGAACCGGTAAAAATTGCAACATTCTGGAGTCAATAGGTTAAAAATATTCCAACATGCTCGCAGCGCCCACCTATCAAAATCCCATTTCGGAATACATTTACAAAGTCGCACCGTAACTCCAAATGACCTGACATTTTGCACACATATCCGGGTGGACCTGCTCTACAATAATCCTCTTAGAACCCTAAGCTCCGCCTACATTAATTTAAATTAGCATAATGTTCAAAACAGTGAAATATTCACTTAAATTTCAATTTTCATTTTTTCAAAACTAAACTTCGTATACAGTATCGGTGGAGGGTCAGACACATTACCGTAGAAAATTAGCATGTTCAGACGATAAATATTGCAAACCATTAATCAAAACGTACTTGCAAAAAGGCGGGGCTTAGAAAGAAATGCTCATAACTCATCAACAATGTATCCAAACATCACAGATGTTGGTGGATAAGTTCATTCTCTCTTGGGAAATAGGCACACCAAAGATTTTTCATTTTGGACAATAGGGGGCGCCAAATACACCACCAATTTATAACTCAAGAACGGATGGATGAATCTTTTTTTTTCTTCTTTACACATACTCTGGGGGTGACTACGAACTGAGATTTAAAGTGTCGCAACAAATACAGAATGTGGGCGTGGCCTATACAAATGTTTTTAATTGCGATAGCATAAAATGAGCTTCGGATGCAAAACTTGGGACACAGGTCAGAGCCCAGGACCTTTTCGAGAATGTAAAAAAAAAAAAGTAATTTAAAAAAAAAAATGCTCACTAGCGCCCCCTATTGTGTGGTAGTCTCATATAGTTTCTCAGAACTTCACGGATTTTGGCACAGACATTCCTCATGGAATTTCGGACATATTTGTAGTTAGCTTCCATTAGCCCCGCCCCCCAGGAAGTCGGCCATTTAGAAATATTTGCGTTTTTCATGCATTTTAAGGACATTTCTGCAAACTCCTCCTAGGGGAATGATCGGAAAAATTCCAATCTAGGACAAGTTCAGCCCATATCCAATGTGATGCTAAATTGCGAAGCTGATCGCTGAAACGATGAGCTCGTAAGCAAATGGAGAATGTTCCATTTTTGACGATTTACATGTCACAAATTACTACAAACTACTCGCATATAGTTTTTCCTATATTCACGAAACGCTGTATACACATTGCTATTATAATTGCACACATATTTCAAATTGCTTTTCATTAGCCCCGCCCCCCAGAAAGTTGGCCATTTTGAAAAATGTGCGTTTTTCAGCCATTTTAAGGACATTTCTGCAAACTCCTCCTAGGGACATGATTGGAAGAATTCCAATCCAGGAAAAATTCAACCCCTATCCAATATGATGCTAAATTGTGAAGAAAATAGTTGCTAGCTCAAACGGGAAGCTCGTAAGCTAATGGAGAATGTACCATTTTTGACGATTTACATTAATCCAAACTACTACATTTCCATTTTTGGAAACCTTTACAAAGTGGCACCGTAACTCCGAAAGACCTGACATTTTGCACACTTATTCGGGTGGACCTACTCTACATATGATCTCCTTGAACTCCTAAGCTCCGCCTACTTTTTAAATTAGCATCATGTTAAAAACAGTGAAATATTACCTTAAATTTCAATTTTTTGTTTTTCAACGCCAAATTTAGTATACAGCATTGGTGGAGGGTTAGACACATTACCGTAGAAAATGAGCATGTTCAGTCGATAAATATGCCCGTCATTCATTTAAACCTGTTTGCAAAAAGGCGGGGCTTAGAAATAAATGCTCATAACTGGTTAGGGTTTAGGGTTAGGGTTACCCCTAACCCACACACCGGCTCTGCTGGCGGCATATTCAATTACAACAGACACCTATACACTCCACAACACACACGTACTGACTGTACAACACACACATACAGCTCCTAAAGCATATAATGTATTTCAGGCTACAGCCCTTGTATATTTTATTATGTGAAGCACTATATGGTTTCATGAAAAATATCTACTCTTTACTTGTAGATATCTACTAAAGCGTTGCATTTCGGTAGACTCGCGCGCGTCTGCTTGACGCCGGGACGACCGGCTGCCCTCCCCGACAGGTGCACGGACTCGAGGGCCCGCTTATCACTGCGCGCACATCTGTGACCGCAGTTTTAATTAAAATTATTTTAGGTAAAATCTTAAATAATGCAGGTTTCATGAATGAAAGCCTCATTTTGTTTTCTTTCCCCATCAGTTGGACTCTGATCCTGAGTATGAGAACGACTCACACACTGCAGCACAGACAGAAGACACAGAGGAGCAGGAAGACATGGTGTGAAGTCCAGTCAGGTTAGAGCCTCCTGCATCAGATCAAACAGGCCCACTCCACATGTAGGGTCACAGTTCCAGCTGTAACTTTACACAAAGTCTCTGTGATTTTCTTCAGATGCTCACCTGATGGAAACAAAGAAGAAGGACTTTGAAATGTCCCTGTGGAGAGCGAGGCTGTGCAGGATGTGTGCAAAGTGGATATATGAATGTTCAACTCTTAAACGTTTTATTGTCAGTTGTCAGTAGCAGCAGCTTGTAGGTTTAGAAGAATGAGCGGCTGGCAGCTTGAACTGAATCATGTCGAGGTGTCAAACATGATTTATCGTTAAGACCAGCTGATGGTCAGGTGCTCTATATTACTGCTTCAGCTATGTGTACATGCTTATTTGTTATATGCAGAGTTGTTGATATTACAAAAGTCTAGTCAAATTGTTTTTTTTATTCCACATAATAAATAACTTTTAAAATCCTCATCAGTGTTTTGGTTAATAACTGTCCTGGCTGACAATTAAGTCTATTAAAACAGAGAGAGCCTGAAAACATCACATTTCTCTCCATGTACAGTTTAGATTTTCACAAAATGAAACATAAGCTCACTAGAAGAAGACCTTGTTAGATGTTACTGTGTAAGATTCAAATCAGAATAAATCAACAGCCAGCTCTTCAACAAGTGAAAGACCATTGGACTAGTGTTTGGAAAAGATACATTTTCAATCAATTTTCATCAATTTTCTGCATAACGTTTCATTAATTTAATTCATTAATATATAATGTTTAATTTAGTGGGAATGCGGTTAACAGCATTCCAACTAACTGTTCTTCTACGGACAACATTTGTATTATTCCGCCGACTTATTTTGGCCCTCTTCTCCTCCCGCATTGAACATCGCAGAAACTCTGTTCAAACACCAAAACGTTCAGCTCGGTCGGGAATCGATGGCTATTACTTTTCTCATTCATAACTTTCATAATTCCAGTGATACATCCCATAATACATCACATTTTTAACCATTGAAGTCAATGGAGAAATTCTTCAACTTCAACTAATCTTCATGCGACTTCAACTGCTAACTGTTCATTCATACTTTCACTCAGAAACCTCATTCCAACTTTAAAATGTTACACATATTTCTGACATTATTCGTGTAAAACAACTTTTAAATCTGATTCTTACTTTTAGAAATATTAAACATTGTTCAGACCTTGTTTTAGAGGTTTTCTTCACATTTTAACATTAACTAGAGTGCGTGATGTCACAGCTAGAGGGTAGTGAATCTTGAAATTTGCCTTCATATATTATTTTAAAACTGCCATAATTCCCAAACCCTACATTCCTGAGACATAATTGTTCATGACAAACGTAGGAAAACATCTCGTAGCTTGAAAAATGACAAATAATTAAGCAAAAAATAATTAAACAAAATGCCTCTTGAGGGCATGAAGTGACGAAAACATTCAACATGCCTCCATTAAAACCCATTGTAATTTCAGGCTCATATTTCCTCCCAGCAGCAGCCACACACCTTTAGTTAAACTGCTCCAAACAGCCCAGAACTGGTTTGATAACGATGCAGCCATCAACGCATCTAAGCGTATTATGGGGTGTCATCAAATGCCGTTGCCATGGCGACAGACAACTCGCCATGAAACAGGATGTCGCTGTAAGTCCAATCGACACGGTCCAATCGTCCCCCAATCTTCACTTGTACATCACCGGCCCATGCCTCAACAGCTCTACGCCAAATCTGAGATCTCACCATAAGCTGTTTCCATGGAAACGCATCCCTCGCCATAAAACATGATGTCGCTATAACTCCTATGAAAATGTTCAGAAAGTGCTCAAACTTCACATGTGTACTAACAGTCCAGCCGTGAAGACATCTACGGTACAGCTTTGAGATTTCTTCAAATGTTGTTGCCATGGCAACACAATGCTCGCCTTGAAACACGGTTTTCAAAAAACTTCAGTGAAAATACTCCAAACAGCCCAAAACTTCACAGGTTTGGTAACGATGCAGCCATCAACGCATCTAAGCGTATTATGGTGTGTCATCAAATGCCGTTGCCATGGCGACAGATCATTCGCCATCAAGTTAGTTCAGAAGTTTGCAGTTCAAATATTCTGCTGCTTTTCCAAGCCTTTTGACTTTCTTTTCTTCTCTCATCACACATTCAAGCCCCCAGTGTTCATGTATCATTTCAATCTAAATTCTTCACTTTCTTCTTACACATTTCATTTTAATCTAAATTCTTCACTTTCTTCTTACACATTTCATTTTTAATCTAAATTCTTCACTTTCTTCTTACACATTACATTTCAGCATAAAGCATTCCCACTAGCAATAATTATTTCTTCAGGAATTGCATTCTCTAGTTATTAGCTAGCAATACAAAAACAGATCTAATAAATGTTGCTTTTGAATATCTCCGATATATGTCATTATTTTCTTTTTTGTATTACTGCCAAATTGTATTCCATATTTTATTCCCTTTTATTCCATTCGATTTCTATGTAAATACTGCAATATTTTACTACATTTTTTATTATTTCCTGTGAGGGAATATTTCTGTCTTTACTTTAGATATTTAACCTTTCTGCCTGTTGACGTTTACAACCAACCTTAAGTCTGTTATCTCCCGTATGGAATGTGATAATGCAGTCATGTGATGTTATTCTCAGCTTTATTATCGGTCACAGAGGGTTTTAGGACTGTGAGAACGCTGGCTTTCTAAGCCCCACAGACAGGTGATTGAGTATTTCCAGATATCGGGGATATCACCAGTGTTCCCAGTGTTTACGCACCATCCCCCAATATGTGGATTAACTCTCTGTAAACTAGTTAAAAGGTCTACCGGAGGGAGGCTGGTCAGATTTGACGTGGCAAACCACCCGTGCAGTCAGAATCTCTGGCTGCTGTAACTTGTGATGTGAATTTCTCCGGCCGATACTTGTATTAAACATCAGTGTTTGACATCAAAGATCCTGCTCGTCCCGTGTCTCCTTCATGAGTCGGTGACTCCCTCTGCATTGCTACACAGAAGTTTCCTCCACATTTCTAATATTTGTTCATGTTATTTTTTATATATGCACCATGAAATCAAGTCAAATTCCTCGTACGTGCAAACCTACCTGGTAATGAACCTGATTCTGATTCTGATGTGGTGACGTGTTACTACTGTATAGGAAGGAAAGGAGCCACAGTGTTCATAATGATCTGAGATGTTTCTGATATGAAGATCCACAGACAGTTTTCAACTGAGAATCCATTTAAATTATTTGCCTTTTGTCAAAACTTGGGGAAAATGCTTTTAGTCATATTTTATATATTTTTTTAGTCCACCCTTCCTTTCCCTACCATCACCCCGACCCTTTATCCCTCAATTATTCATCCCCATATCCATTCATCCTTTCATCCCTCCCTGAACCCTTGATCCCTAAATCCCTTCATCCGTGCTTCCCTTGGACTCTTCATTCCTTAATAGTCAGTTCCTTCACTTTTATTCCTGCACTATACATCTTCTCTTTCTGTCTCCCTTCATCTATTTGTAGTTAGTCTGGTGTTAACTTTCGCCAAGTTCTCCATACACTAATGGCGCATTTCCACCGCAGGCCTCGCTTGACTTAGTACGGTTTTGTTAGGCCTTGTTATGCCTTGTTAGGCCCGGCTCACTTTAATGCTGCGCTTCCATTACAGTTTAGGAACTGGGGTAGTATCTATAGTAACGCAGTGTAGGCGGAGCCGTGACGTCATCTTCAGAAAAACAACACAGCCGTTAGCTGTTAGCACTCAGAGCTCACAGCTCCTCATATCTGTTCAGAAACTAGACAAAAGTTAAACAAGTACAAACCACAGACTGTCTGTGTCATGGTGAATACAGTCGCTGGTTTATTTATGTCTGTATAGGCCGTTGTTGTGAGTGTGGACGGTCGGAGCATATACTGCGTTAGCTTAGCCGATCTCCATTTAGAAAACACGCATTCTAAAAGGTTTTTCGCCTGCCGTCTGTCTGCAGACTTGTCAAAGCATTAATTCATGGTTTTTACTAACCGGTATCAGTATGTTGTTACTTCGGCATCATTTTGAAACGTGTATTACAATTAAATCACGGTCAAATATGTTCATCTTGTTGTAGTTGTAGCCCACTTGCCAGCGACTCTCTCACTAGTTTAGCATACTCAGCCCGGTTGTTGGCCCGCTTGTTGGCCCCTATAAAACCACGATTTTGTCGGGCCAGAAAAAAAGGTGAAAAAGTAGCCCGGGCCGGAAATAGGCCTAGTGGAAACGCAACCAAAATCGGGCACGATACGACACGCTTAAACCGTGCATGGTGGAAATGCACCATAAGAGACCAAGCACTCTCCTGGCTGGCTCTCCATTTAATGTCGGAGATGTAAAAATAAATATTTTGTCCATAAAATGAACACGGCCCTCCTCACCAACATTTCTATCTTTACAGTCTTTACAAGGTCAAAAAAGTGCACTGGAAACGGAGTTCACAGTTTGATGCATAGAGGTCTGGAAATGTTGAAGGTCCTGCCACTCCTTTTCATCTACTAAATATGGGCAGTACACCTTTAACTTGACCACAGGTGTAGTCAAGTTTTAGTCATATGTGTCTCATAGCCAAAATAAGGTGAGAATATAGTATAGAATATACAGAGCCAAATACAGAGCACTTTTATAAGGAGAGTTCACCACTAAACCCACCACTCCTATATCCTGCCTGGATTACAGAAGTTCCTCCAGACCAGCCTTACCCCTTCCTCTTACATTTCCTCAGTGCTCAATGAACAAAAATACCTGTAATAAAAGTTGAAGTGACATATTGTTGAGGAGTGGTCCATGCTGGAGAAAAGTCCATTTGGAAAAGCTTGTGCAACGCCCTGATTATGAGTCGTTATTCAAGTAAAACCCATTTTAAAGAGTTGCTTTCCAATGTGTCAAAGATGTTGGTCGTTGGTGTGAAGTGTAGGTCTACTATACAGTAAATTACCTTTAATGCTAAAAGACTAAAATGGCAATAGGTTTCACTCATTTGATCTTTAAAAACAAAAGATATACTTACATTTGTCCAAACAGTCACTGATGGATGTTAGAATGTGTCTCAGGGTCCTGATTCAGTTTCTGATGTTTCACTGTCCTCTAGTGGGGGATCTTAAGTGAGACACATTCAGGCTTCATCACTCAGAGAGCTCCACTGTCTGCTTTAAAGGGTCAGTTCACCCAAACTACTAAAGTACTGATTTCTTCTCTCACTCGATTATGTGTTACATGTTTAAGTTGAATTAGGGTTAATGTACTGCTTTCCTCTATTGCCTCCAGTAACAAGAAGAACGTTTATGATACATTTTGCTGCATGCTGTGAGGTTGTTTTTCAATTGTTAAAGTGTTTTAATAAATGTAAACACTGGACATATGCTAACAGTTCATTCAACTGATCGACTTAAACATTGAAAGTCATTGAAAATATGTTTTTCTTATCATTAAACACTGTGTGTCCAAATCCTACCTGTCCACTTGATTATGAGTGACATGTTCATGTTGGGTTCCCACTAACAGGCATGTGAGTTTCCTCACCTACAAAGCACTCCACCATCTGGCCCCCCTTATCTCACAAACCTTCTCACTCCTTATCAACCCCCACGGTCCCTCAGATCCACCGCAGCCGGACTCCTATCCATTCCCACATCCACACTCTGCAGCTTTGAGGACAGAGCCTTCTCAGTGGCAGCTCCTAGGCTCTGGAACTCCCTCCCCCAAGATCTCCGTGACTCTGAGTCCCTCACAGTCTTTCAGTCCCGCCTCAAAACACATCTTTTCAACTCTGTCTACCCATAAGCCCCCCCCCCCCCCCTCTCAATCAACTTCCTCTTGACTGCCTTTTTATTTTTTACATACTTTGCCTGTCCTTGTTTGTCTACCCTCCCTCATACTGTAAAGCGTCTTTGAGTTGTGAAAAGCGCTATATAAATAAAATGCATCATCACGCCTCAGAGTTCTGCATTTCTCTGAAACAGAAGCAACCTGACCGCAGAGAGAGCAGAGAAGAAATAAACCAAGAGAAATGAAATGGCGTTTTCCATTTTCTCTTATAATGAATACTGTGCCCTTCATCCTGTTCAGTCAAACTGCCTCGTGGTGTTACAGGTTAATGCCTTCCTGTTCCTTCACTCCTCAGTGCTCATAGAGATGAACTTAATTTGAATGCTCTTTTCTGGTGTCAGTGGAATATCGGCAGCCAAACAAGTTAAAGCCATAGATTATTTTTGTTTAAGAAAAGTTTATTTTTTGACAACAAAACACAACTGTGTAGTGGGTGTTACTGGCATTTGGCTCATCATGCATATTAATAATCTAAAGAGGAAGGAAATCTAGTCTTTTAAAAGCCTGATATCCGTCTTCTGCTTATTGAGGAAAGGCATCTTTGAACACGTCGTTCCTCCTTCACTGTGAGTAGAAACAGTTTATTTATGTAATGATTCTGTAAACCTCCTGTGAACATTATTTAATCTGACATGTTTTATAGTCTCACAGAGATGAGAGGAGCAGCTATGAGTCTAACTGCAGCAGCGAGTGGATTAGTTGTCTTCCTGCTCTCTGTTTCAGGTACTGTACTTCTACACTTACATTCATCACATGAACAGAGGGGATTCTGGGAAATGTGGGACTTGTTAAACCAGGTCTCATGTGGGAATAAGTGTGCAGTCTTCTTCTTTTTCTTATCTGTATATCAGACAGAAGCTGCTCACGCCTCAGTGCTCTGCATTCATTGTTATTGTTCACACTGACCTCAGCAGCAACCTGACCACAGAGCGAACAGAGAGGGAACTGTTCAGAGAGTCTCACACTATTCTAATTAATGTAATCGCTAATCATTCACTGTTCATTTATATGAAGGCATTTTCCAATCTTGTGTCAAACTGAACCCTTTTTGTGTAGACTTCTGTTCTACCTGGTTTGATTAAGAAATAACAAAGTCAAAGAGTATCATTGGTTTTAAAATGCCATAGAAGGAATTCACGTGTTTTCTGCTCTATCCAGTAAAGTTTGTAAAATGTTTATTTTTACATTTTTTGTTGAAAGTACTGTTCAGGCAATTTCTCAACAATGTATAGATTCACTTTGATTGTGGTGTGCTCTGTGTTACAGTGGCTCAGGGTCAGTATGGCATGACTTACTCTTCTACTAAGATCTGTGCAGTGAAAGGATCAACAGTGGAGATTAGATGCAGCTACACATACCCATCTACATCAAATGGTCGTGTTAACACAGTGGAGAAAACATGCTGGTTCACTACATGGAAAGATCTTAAACCTGTAGATCTGACCACAGACTCAGAGTATGCAGGTCGTGTAGAGGATCTCTGTGAAAACAACACCTGCACTCTGAGAATCAAAAACCTGAGAGAGAGCGACTCAGTTGAGTACTGGTTCAGCATCAAAACAAGGCAATATACCCACTTGGGTGTTCCTGGAACCACTCTGTCTGTTACAGGTAACATTTACACTGGGTTTATAACAATAACTGAGTTATAACAAGTAATTTCTTAATTTCAACTTCTTGCAAATAGTGTGAATGTTTTGATTTATATTTATGTATGAACATAATGACAGTTTTGTTAATTATACTTTTATTCAGATCTCCAGGTGCAGGTGAGCAGATCAGGATCGTCTACTCGCCTTCAGTGTCTCAGCAGTTGTCCACCTGGTCATACTTCCTACATCTGGTTCAAGAATGGACAGAAAGTGAAGAAAGAGACATCTTCTTATGCAGACTTCAATTATGAGTCAGCAGACAGTTATTCCTGTGCTTTAAAGGGATATGAGGACTTCCCCTCTCCTTCAGTGTGTGAGTTCACTCAAAGTCTTCCACTGACATAATGACATAAACATACAGTATAAAATATATCATCATTGCACTCATGTATCTATTTACCCACCAGAGGTCGCCAGCAGACATGGCAGTGTCCAAAGACACTGAACCAGGGCTCTAGGTTTTCTGTTCGATTTTAAAATAGATATAATATAATCTTGCTACGAAGGATGCTACTAGAAAGAAGAATACACAAGAATTATGAAGGAAACTTCTTCCATGACATAAAGATGAACTCTTTCCCTCAAAGTGTTTAGATTTATGATAAAGGATGGAATCAAGTGAACCACCCACTCTGTGTTTTATTAAACTATTGCTCATTAAAATATCTTCGTGGAATTAAATGTGAAATGTGTTCATGTTATCTCCTCCAGATGCTCCAAAGCCTCCCTCTGTGTCAGTGAGTCCCTCTGCTGAGATAGAGGAGGGCAGTTCAGTGACTCTGACCTGTAGCAGTGATGCTAACCCAGCAGCTAACTACATCTGGTACAAGAAGAATGGAAATGCAGACCTTTCTTCTGTCAGTGAAGGACCACGTCTTTTCCTCAGCTCCATCCAGTCCTCTGACTCTGGACAGTATTTCTGTAGAGCTGAGAATCTGATGGGGAGTAGAAGATCTGAATCCATCTCTATTGATGTGAAATGTGAGTAAAACCCAGATGATTTAAAAAGCATCATGCAACCAATGACAACTTTGTTCACAGTCTGCTGCTGTAGGTCAATGAGATGGAGAGCAGCTACAGTCGATGATGAACATGAAGTTGTATCTACAATTGGCTCCCAAATCTGCACAAATGTTCTGGGTATTCAAGCCAGCAGTAATACAGAAAATGATATACATATATACACAACATAATGTTTTCTTCAGCTCTAAACCTGTGGAAAAAAACTCCAAATGCCAGATGTTCCCACAGAGAGAACTCTTTCTCATTTCTATACACAATTCAACATAGTGTGTTTTTACCCGTTTTTGTTAATTTATTGTATTTCCTCCAGACTCTCCAAAGCTCCCTTCTGTGTCAGTGAGTCCCTCTGCTGAGATAGAGGAGGGCAGTTCAGTGACTCTGACCTGTAGCAGTGATGCTAACCCAGCAGCTAACTACACCTGGTACAAGAAGAATGGAAATCGGAAACTTCCTCCTCTCACTACAGAACCAAAGCTTTTCTTCAGCTCCTTCCAGGTTTCTGACTCTGGACAGTATTACTGCAGAGCTGAGAATCTGATGGGGAGTAGAAGATCTGAATCCATCTCTATTGATGTGAAATGTGAGTAAAACCCAGGAGATTTAAAAAGCATCATGCACCCAATGACAACTTTGTTCACAGTCTGCTGCTGTAGGTCAATGAGATGGAGAGCAGCTACAGTCGATGATGAAAATTAAGTTCTACAATTGGCTCCCAAATCTGCACGTATGTTCAGGGTATTCAAGCCAGCAGTAATACAGAAAACGAAATATATATACAACATAATTGTTGTCTTTAGCTCTATACCTGTCAAAAAACACTTTGAAAGTCAGATGCTCACACAGATAACCATTTTTCATTTCAATTCAACATGATTTTTACTTATTTCTGTTGATTTATTGTATTTCTTTCAGACTCTCCAAAGCCTCCCTCTGTGTCAGTGAGTCCCTCTGCTGAGATAGAGGAGGGCAGTTCAGTGACTCTGACCTGTAGCAGTGATGCTAACCCAGCAGCTAACTACACCTGGTACAAGGAGGACGAAGACTCTCCAAAAGCTTCAGGACAGATCTTCACCATCACTGACTTCAGAGCTGAACACAGTGGGAGTTATTCCTGTGGAGCCCAGAACAAGTTAGGACGTAGTAACTCCACCTTAACTCTGATTGTTGTGGCAGGTAAGTTCTCTACATTCACCAGACCTGATTCACTTTGTAATAATAATAATAATAATATGACAATGTGAGTTATCAATCTATAGTTAGAAGTATCACATATGTATTCATGTTTCTAGGGAGTTCAACAATGACAGTGAATATCATCGGGACGACTCTGGGGGTCTTGATTCTGATTATTGCGCTTCTCCTGAGTCTGTGGACGAGGTACAACAATATAAATTCATCAGTTTAAACATCCTTCTTTCGTGTTTTAGTTTACTGTTATGAAATAAAATCTGTGTTTGTTGTTGTCCTTAATCCAGGAAGAAGAAAGCTCTGCGCTCCACCACTGAAGCACCTGAACCTGAAGAGACAGAGGTGAGAGAGAGCGGACCTATTGACAACACTTTCCCTTCGTCAAAGCTATACTGTGGCTCATAAATGCAATGTGAAGAGAACTTGTGTTTAAAGCAACCCGGTAACATGTGACGATTTACCATGCTGGGAGACGTGAAGATGTCACGATTCTGTCCCTTCAAACGTGACAGTTACACGGTATAGTTAACCAGTGGAGAAATACCCGGAAATGCCAATCAAATGCTACCCCGACGGCAGGTTGTTATTGTCAATATTAATATAATAATGATTTATTTTTTAATAGTCACATTCGATTATGTCAATGTTCTTGTTGCCCCAGCTGGTCGACGCCTCTTTGAGCAGAAACAAAGGCTACATTAATGTATTAAATCGATGTTAATCCATGGGTGTGGATGTGGAATTAACGAACGTGACGTTGTGCGATTGCGTTGCCAGGCAACAGCTCATGTTAATTTACAAACTCTTCAACTACAACCATTTTTATATTTAAAAACATGTTAGAAGGCCTCACGAAATACTTTAATGTAAATTTAAATTTAAATGTGAAGAAATGTGGGTATAACAAAAATACATCCGTCATAAACGAAACCGGAAACAGACGTAGGCAAGATCCTCAGCTCGATGATTGGTTGTTGTAGCCGCAATGCACGCTGGGATTTGGTGTTTATAAATTTATGAATTTAAAATAAAAGAATACTTTATTCCGAGTGTGCTTGCTTTTCTCTTTGAAAGTCATCACATAACGGCATTGTACTACACGGTTCAGCTGCATTAAATATTACATATCTGACTTCTAGACAAACATGAAGAGCTGCCGCCAAAACTGAAAACGTGACGTGGATCATAAATATATCAGCAATTAAACAACATCTTACATTTATTTTCACACAATACGTCTCCTTGCAGTATCAACACTAATTCTGCTGACTTTTATATTTGATCCAATTGGTAGATCGGCTGTATTTACACCATAAAGGTGCACAGCTGATATAAAGGGACACCTAGTGGTTAAAGCATGTTATTGAATTGTATTATTTTATTATTAGATATTAATAGGATCCCTATAAAGTGTATTCATTACTCGTTATTCTCTACTAATAGTTCATTAAAGACTGTATATAATGACTATTTTGCATCACTTTCAATATTTCAATATTTTCTAAGGTTTATTGCCATATCATATACACAACTACGGTGTAGTTATGCAATGAATTAAAAACTTGGGTCACAGGTTCCTCAACAGTGCATTTCAACACATCTATCAATATGTGTGTATACCAGAGGTGGGAGTAAGTCCTACATGTGCAAGTCATGAGCAAGTCTCAAGTCTTGACCTACAAGTATCAAGCAAGTCCCAAGTCACTGTGGTGAGAGTCAAGCAAGTCAAGTCATTGCTCAGGTCAAGCAAGTCAAGTAATACGAAATTCTGATGAATAAGCCCAGTTTCCACATTTAAATCAGTTAAAAGACAGTGGTTATGAAAATGGATTCAACCCACACTATGATCTTCATTACATACACAGTTAATCATTTGAAATCTAATTTAGACCGATGACAATCATATTAGATTCATATTAACCCTAGAACTGCAGACAATATAGCTAGGACTCAAAAAGTCTGTTCAAAAAGGCAGAATTCCAGGTAAGAAAATCATATATGGCTTTTGCCATTACACATATTTAATGTAAATGTATGTTAACACTAGAACCGCCAACAGCGTCAGCACCTACATAGATATCATTTTCAAATCATTTAATTTGTTCCTCTTCATAATTTCCTTCTAAACTAAGTAGGACGATTTAAAAATCACTTAATTGGGTTAATTTTGAAATTGCATCATAACAGATCAAAAAGTTCAGATTCATTTTACAATAAATCAAAGAATGATGCACTTCTACAAACAAAAATAACATAATTAAAACATTTAAACAAACTACTAAAAGTAGATGAACTACATTCAAAAGTTTACAGTAACTTCTGATAATAACACAGGGGAAACAAACGAGGCATCTCTTTCCCTCTCTCTCTCTCTCTCTCTCTCTCCTGACAGCCCGTCAGTATCAGGGTTAGTCAAAATGAATCCCTTGGCGGTTCTAGTGTTCATCTACCATTTTGTCTTCTCTTTGCAATGCTTAATAGATTTGAAACCAAGTCTAACGTAGCTTAAACTTAACGTTAGCGTTCTAGCTAACACAACACATGCACGTAACTTTCTCTGTGGGGTTTTGTGTAGTGACGAATGAAGTTGGATGTTGTGGTGGTCGTGTCACTGATCTTTATGCTGCAGACCCTGCATACCGCTGTTCTCTTCTTATTAGCGTCCTCGACAAAATAATCCTTGAATCCAAACTTCACTATTTGTGGAGTAAAGCTAGCCGCTGCCATGTTAACTGACACTCCTGCCTACTAGTGGGTTGCCAGGTTTGCGCGCATGGCGCTATAATCACCCAATCACGCAAATATTTAATTTTAAACAGTCAAGTCCTTTCAAGTCATCTGTCTCAAGCTTAAGTCAAGTCTCAAGTCATGAATACCGATTCAAAGTAAAGTCAAGTCTTTTATCAATGTAAGTCAAGCAAGTCTCAAATCAAAAAATATGCGACTCGAGTCCCCACCTCTGGTGTATACCTCCACCATTTAACTGTCATATTCTGCACATTTCTTATACTATCTACATACATCTTATAAGAGTATAATACATAATATCAGTTAAAACTAGAGAATGCAATTCCTGAAGAAATTGCTAGTGGGAATGCTTTATGCTGAAAAGCTGACACTAAACTGCTATGCTGAAATATAATGTGTAAGAAGAAAGTGAAGAATTTAGATTGAAATGATACATGAACACTGGGGGCTTGAATGTGTGATGAGAGAAGAAAATAAAGTAAAAAGGCTTGGAAAATTAGCAGAATATTTGAACTGCAAACTTCTGAACTAACTTGATGGCGAATGATCTGTCGCCATGGCAACGGCATTTGATGACACCCCATACTAAGCTTAGATGCGTTGATGGCTGCATCGTTACCAAACCTGTGAAGTTTTGGTCCGTTTGGAGTATTTTCACTGAAGTTATGAGAAAACCGTGTTTCAAGGCGAGCATTGTGTTGCCATGGCAACTGCATTTGAAGAAATCTCAAAACTGTCCCGTAGATGTCTTCACGGCTGGACTGTTAGTGTGAAGTTTGAGCACTTTCTGAACATTTTCATAGGAGTTATAGCGACATCATGTTTTATGGTGAGGGATGCGTTTCCATGGAAACGGCATATGGTGAGATCTCAGATTTGGCGTAGAGCTGTTGAGGCATGGACCGGTGATATACAAGTGAAGATTGGGGGACGATTGGACTGTGTCGATTGGACTTACAGCCACATCATGTTTCATGGCGAGTGGTCTGTCGCCATGGCAACGGCATTTGATGACACCCCATAATACGCTTAGATGCTTTGATGGCTGCATCGTTACCAAACCTGTGAAGTTTTGGGCTGTTTGGAGCAGTTTCACTGAAGTTATGAGAAAACCGTGTTTTATTACATTACTCTCTCTCTTCTCTTGATCGCCCTCTCTCTCTTTTCTCTCTCTTCTCTCTCTCTTCGGCATATGATGATGACACCCCATAATTGACGTAGAGCTGTTGAGGGCAGGACCATTAACCTGTATCTGGAGTCTGCTGCTCTGAGCATGTCAGCTGGAGTGATGACATCATCGTGTTCCATGACACAGGTGTTTATAGTTGAGCTAACGAGGTGTCCAGAGATCAGAGGTTTCCATTGTTCTGAATGAGAGATAAACCTCTTACATGTGAACGTTTTGTGGAAGAACCGTAACAGATATCTGTGAAATTTCAAAACGTGAAGCATGTCAAGGAAGTTGAGTATCTGAAGTGTAATTTTTGTGTACGTTGGGGTTAATAATGTGGCCTTTTGGCAGTTTAACTAAAGGTGTGCGGCTGCTACCGTGAGGAAATATCTGCCTGAAATTACAATGGGCTTTAATGGAGGCATGTTGAATGTTTTTGTCACTTCATGCCCTCAAGAGGCATTTTGTTTAATTATTTTTTGCTTAATTATTTGTCATTTTTCAAGCTACGAGATGTTTTCCTACGTTTGTCATGAAAAATTATGTCTCAGGAATGTAGGGTTTGGGAATTATGGCAGTTTAATAAAAATATATGAAAGCAAATTTCAAGATTTTTTTTGGGAATGCTGTTAACAGTATTCCCACTAAATAAGTGCTTCAACATAGTTAACATTGCAGGAAAGCAATATATTAGACGTTAAGTACTTTGTCAGGTTTAATATTTATCTGTAGATACAAATAATGTCACTGTGTGTGCTGTGTGCTCTGCATGTGTGACCATTCAAGAGGGTTTCATCCCATATTCTTCTTCTATACCCCCAAAGCTTTTTTCTTATTCAAAAGAAGACCTTAACCTAAAGTATTCTTCAATGTTTAAATTAAGCCTTATTAGTTTGTCTGTTTTGCACATCCTCCTATTAATATCTTCTTTTATCTTAAAAACAAAGACCGTTATGGTGTAAATACAGCCTATCTACCAATTGGACCAAATATAAAAGTCAGCAGAATTAGTGTTGATACTGCAAGGAGACGTATTGTGTGAAAAGAAATGTAAGATGTTGTTTAATTGCTGATATATTTATGATCCACGTCACATTTTCAGTTTTGGCGGCAGTTCTCCTGTTTGTCTAGAAGTCTTCTCCTCAGGGCTCTATAAATAAAGAACTACGGCAGATATGTAATATTGAATGCAGCCGAACCGTGTAGTACAGGGGTGGCCAACCAGTTAGAGGTTAAGAGCCACATTTTTTCTATGTTACTGCAAAGAGCCACATCAAACACACAGGCACTGATACCGCTTGTTTCCGTTTTTTTGTTTTCTGGAGACAAGATTTCAACCACGTCACTGATGCATTTTTGTGGCATTGGGATATATATTTTTTAAATCCTCTGGAGCAGAGAGAGGAGCTGTGGATTATTGTTATTGATTAATGCATCAGTGTTTCTTAGGGTCAAAAACACTAAATTCACAACTTAAAATGAAAGCGTTTAGTTTATTTAATAAAAGAGCACATGTTCAATGTGAAAAGTGACAGTAGTTATAGATTATTTGCAATTTGGTGCTATATATATTAAAAAAAAAAAATTATATATATTTTTTAAACACCTTGAATTTCAGGGGGGGGGCGCGGGGCTCCGTTGGCGGGGCGCGGGGCTCCGTTGGCGGGGCGCAGCGCCCCTCCAAAACAATGGTAGGGGAAACACTGGATAGTGTTTAATCAACGATAGGTTTCCCCCCCTCAAAGGTGATTGGTTCACTGCATCGCAGGTATTATTGTGATTGGCTCTTGGGCCACATCAAAATTAGACTTGCTGTCATCCTCTCATACTGACACCTGACACCACACATACACACGTAGGGAGAGCCGGGACGAAAGTAAAGGAGCGATTTTATCCGAGCCCAAACAACTTTGACCGGCCAAATTACGTTAATACTTAACAGACCTACTAAATATCAGGTTTAACTGTCAGGAGTAGCTAGTGTTGTCACGATACCAACATTTTGGTTTCGATACCAAGTCAAGAATTGCGATTCCGATTATTTTTCGATACTTTTCTTAAAAAACAGTCTTAAATGTAATTATTGTGCTTTATTTCACACCAGAACCATAACCATAACACAAACTTTTAAACAATGAGAACAATAAATTAAATAAATTACAAGATTTCCTATTAAATACAATTAATACATTTCTTACAGACAGGCCTCGTGGTGTCCGTAGGCTTGCCCTCACTGTCAGAGATATAGCTCAAATACTTCCAAATTTCGCTTCTGGCGTCTTTTTTGTCAACAAGCCGAGGCGCAGCGGCAGTTGCACTCCCACTTGCAGCCATGCTTCTCGCTTTCTCACATGCTCTGGCAGCTAGCGCGTGCACGAGAGAGGGGAGGGACTTAGAGCGTGCTTGAGAGGGGCGGGACTGCAGGCACGGCTGCAGTGCAGGGAGTGGAAGCAGAGCGCTGAACACACACGGCTCTTATTAAAACGGCGCTTTCTCACCGGAGTACTTTCCCCCGTCATTCTTAAAGTACCGATACTAATGAAACGGAGGAATCGTAACGTTTTTAACGACAGGGTATCGCGGTATACCTTTCAAGTATCGGTACACCGTGCAACACTAGTCAGGAGTCAGTGTCTCTCCCCCAAACTCACACATATACAATTCGATATGAACTGAAGAGCCGCATGAAACTAGGCAAAGAGCCGCATGCGGCTCGAGAGCCGCGGGTTGGCCACCCCTGGTGTAGTACAATGCCGTTATGTGATGACTTTCAAAGAGAAAAGCAAGCACACTCGGAATAAAGAATTATTTTATTTTTTAAAACTGTTTTCTGATTTCACATCACATAAACACCAAATCCCAGCGTGCATTGCGGCTAAACCATCCAATCATCGAGCTGAGGATCTTGCCTACATCTGTTTCCGGTTTCGTTTATGACAGATGTATTTTGTTATACACACATTCCTTCACATTTTAATTTACATTAAAGTATTTCGTGAGGCCTTCTAACATGTTTTTAAATATAACTACGGTTGTAGTTGAAGAGTTTGTAAATTAACATGAACCGAAGCTGTTGCCTGGCAACGCAATCGCACAACGTCACGTCCGTTAATTCCACATCCACACGCATGGATTAACATCGATATAATACATTAATGTAGCCTTTGTTTCTGCTCAAAGAGGTGTCGACCAGCTGGGGCAACAAGAAAATCGGCGTAATCGAGTGTGACTATTACAAAATAAATCATTATTATATTAATATAGAAAATAACAACCGACCGTCGGGGTAGCATTTGCTTGGCATTTCCGGGTATATCTCCACTGGTTAACATGGGTTAACAATCCCGTGTAACTGTCACGTTTGAAGGGACAGAATCGTGACATCTTCACGTCTCCCAGCATGGTAAATCGTCACATGTTCACGTCTTGCCGTGATACCGGGTTGCTTTAAAGACAACTTCCTGAGTTGAAACCAGCAACAAATTTAGCCAAGAAATAATTGGTATCAACTTTAAAATATGAAAAATGTTTTATAAAATCTTAAAGTATATGCGGGTTTCATGAATGAGGGTCAAATGTTGTCTTCTCTCTCTTCATCAGTTGGACTCTGATCCTGAGTATCAGAACGACTCACACACTGCAGCACAGACAGAAGACACAGAGGAGCAGGAAGACATGGTGTGAAGTCCAGTCAGGTTAGAGCCTCCTGCATCAGATCAAACAGGCCCACTCCACATGTAGAGTCACAGTTCCAGCTGTAACGTCACACAAAGTCTCTGTGATTTTCTTCAGACGCTCACCTGATGGAAACAAAGAAGAAGGACGTTGAAATGTCCTTGTGGAGAGCGAGGCTGTGCAGGATGTGTGCAAAGTGGATATATTCACGTTCAACTCTTAAAGCTTTTATTGTCAGTTTTCAGTAGCAGCAGCTTGTAGGTTTAGAGAATGAGCTGCTGGCAGCTTGAAGTGAATCATGTCGAGGTGTCAAACATGATTTATCGTTAAGACCAGCCGATGGTCAGGTGCTCTATATTACTGCTTCAACTATGTGTACATGCTTATTTGTTATATGCAGAGTTGTTGATATTACAAAAGTCTAGTCAAATTGTTAATTTAATTCCACATAATAAATAACTTTTGAAAAATCCTGATCAGCTTCTTGGCTTGCCAGGAACATCTCATTTTACTCCATGCCCACTTTAGATTTTAACAAATTTAAATCAACATGAAAACAGAAGCACCCTTCTAGCAACTAGCAACACGTTTCAAGTGTTTCTGTGTTTAATTAAAATAAAAGCCGGCTTCTATATCAAGGAAATGGATCATCCCCCTCAGCGAGATTCTTACCATAGAGCTCATGACACATACGTCCCCCGTGCCAGTTTTCCAGTATCAGGTCCCAAGCTAGAAAAGCCTTGTTTTTGTTGTCATAACCCTGGTCATTTGATAGCAGACTGTGCAGCTTGGAAGCGAGAGCAGGCCGCCACTATGTCGGATGAGGAAGGGATTGTGCTATCACACAGTGGTGTTTTGGCACAGAGCGATTCTTCTCATCGTGATGGTTTCCGGAAAGCTCGTAATAGGCGTGCCACACATGCTCATTCTGTTTCTCTTCCAGGACCCAAGAAAAAGAGATTGTGTTTATTTTGTCTTGACCCTGGTCATCTAGTGGCAGAGTGTGTAGCTCGGAAGAAGCAGGTGGCAGCTTCCAAGCGGTCTATGGAAGAACCAAAAGGCCGGCACCCAGTTGCAATGCGACAGAGTGGTGAGTTGCAGTTAAGTTCTGCGTCCGTCTCTGAAGCGGTGAGGGTGGACCTGGCTCAGAGCGATGTGGATCTGTGTTCAGTGAGGGATGTGTGTATTCCATGTGTTGCTCCAATATCAGCTTCTTGCGAGCAGTATAACGTGTGCTTTATGCGACTTACATACTCAATACTGTGGCTAATCACCACAGGAGCAATTTGGGGTGAAGTGTCTTGGGGTTTGAACCTGTGACCACCTGATCCGAACACCAACGCTCAATCCACTGCACCACACACCTCCTACAAACCAAAAACAATGAAATGGCATTTTCCACCCTCTCTTATTGTTACGTGCCGCAGTTGGTGCTTGTGTGTGTGTCTCTCTCTCTCTCCCTGATTGTCTGCAGGTGCAGCCTCTCCCCCAGGTGCTCCCAATCCCCAATCAGGGCCTCCTTAAAGGACCTGAGGAAGCCTGCAGTGGCCCTCTTCTTCTCCTCTGGCTGCGTGTGTGGTGTGGTGTGGTGTGGTGTGGTGTGGTGTGGTGTCTCTGTGGGCCCTCTGTGGGCCCTTCTTACTTCTCTTATTTTTCATTTCCTCGCTCCTTGGTCTCTGTCTCACCGGAAGTTGATTTGTCTGCGCCATCTTGAGTAGCGTCCCAATGGCCTTATTTTTGCTGGAGGACCGAGGAGCGATAACGGAGGAGCTATAACCGAGGAACCACCAGACCATCCTCCGATGAAATCCTCAGACACTCGCCCCGCCCCCTTACTGTGTATCGCTCACTGATTGGACGAGGCAGTGCATGCACTGATCTGATGCTTCTTGACATGAGAGCAGTCACTCCTCAGTTTATACCGTGTTTTGTTTCAATTAATGTTTCATTTAGTTACAAATATGTGATATATCTGAACAACAAAGTGGTCAAAAATCATTTTCTTCATTTATTGGAAACATTTTCATGATCGCTTTTTTCGTTTATACATTTTAAGAATGGCGTTTATCTTTTTTGAGAATGAGTTCTTATTTTATTTAATGTATTTGGGTCTACAACAGATGATACAAATGTTTGTGTCAGTAAATGTGTGCTAACAGAGGCGGGGGTGTGTGTGGACACAACGGGGACAGAGTTGCTGTCAGACGATCAGCTGTGCAGCGTCGTCACAAACGGACGTCGCTTCACGTGACGCTCCGGAGGAAAGGACGTCCCATTGCTCTTAAAACTCATTTCCCTGCTTCTCGTGGTTTCCTTGCGTCTCTCCATGCTTCCCTGGAGGGAGGGACTAGACGCAGGGAAACGACGCAAGTGAGGGACTCAAGGAATCCATTTAACCGAAGTGAGAAGGACCCTGTGTGAGGCCTAGTTTAACTTGTGTTTTGTTTATTGTTAGGAAATGTGCTCCAGTTTACCTTTTTGTGTATTGTTTAATTTAATCACTTTCTTTTCGAAGAAAGTTGTTCTTAGTTACTTTAAGTTTGTTTTGCAAATTGGCTGGTGAGCCTATTTTCTTTATTAATTAAAGCATCACTTTGTGGCTTCAGCAGTTTCCTCTCCTCTTTCTCTCGCCCGGTTATTTTTGTGTTTAGTTACTTCCCTTTGTTCCCCTAGTTTAGGAACGTAACACTTATAAATAATAATATGCCCTTCATCCTGTTCAGTCAAACTGCCTCGTGGTTTCACAGGTTGATGCGTTCCTGTTCCTTCACTCCACCTGCAGACTGTGTGACGTCCTCAGTGCTCAGAGAGATCAACTGTTATTCTCCTCTTCATTTAAATGCTCTTTTCTGGTGTCAGTGGAATCTCGGCAGTGAAACAAATGTTTAACCGAAGTCTCTTTTAATGTGTACTTTTTTAAAACAAAACGTTGTTGTGTAATGGGTGTTACTGGCATTTGGCTCATCATGCATATTAATAATCTAAAGAGGAAGGAAATATAGTCTTTTAACAGCCTGATATCCGTCTTCTGCTCATTGAGGAAAGGCATCTTTGAACACGTCGTTCCTCTTTCACTGTGAGTAGAAACAGTTTATTGATGTAATGATTCTGTAAACCTCCTGTGAACATTATTTAATCTGACATGTTTTATAGTCTCACAGAGATGAGAGGAGCAGCTATGAGTCTAACTGCAGCAGCGAGTGGATTAGTTGTCTTCCTGCTCTCTGTGTCAGGTACTGTACATCTACACTTACATTCATCACATGAACAGAGGGGATTCTGGGAAATGTGGGACTCGTAAAATCAGGTCATTTGTGAAAATAGATCAGAGTTGTGTGAAATGCAAACTTCCCAGAAATATTATAAATATTAATTCTGTGTAGATTTTAAAGTTAGTTTTTAGTGTTACTTGTGATTAGTGGATATTGTGTTGGTCAACATCATTTGCACTTATCTTTTTCATGAAATGTCTTTGTTCAAACAACTTTTACACGCTGTAACCTGAGAATAATGTTCATTCATGACTGTTCGCTCCTCACCATGTGAACACATTTTGCTTTGTTTTATTTTTAAGATAATAATAATAATACATTTTATTTCTATAGTGCTTTTCTTGAACCCAAAGAGGCTTTAAAGAGGACACTGGTTAAAGAATTGCTTGTCGTTTTCAATAAGTTTTAGTGTTTTTAAGGGATATTCTCCCACAAGTCATTACATGCTGTCTATCAACTTCTCTTATGTCGCAATACCTCTGCACCGAACTCTGCAAGTTCCCACACTGTGAGTTTAAAGCAGTCTTCTTCTTTTTCTAATCTGTATATCTTCCTGCTCTCTGTGTCAGGTACTGTACATCTACACTTATTCATCACATGAACAGAGGGGATTCTGGGAAATGTGAGACTTGTAAAATCAGGTCTCATGTGGGAATAAGTGGATCGGGGTTGGATGAAATGCCAACTTTCCAGAAATATTCCATATGTTTTATGTAGCTTTGATGAAACACTTAGATGTTACCAAGTTGTAGTAGTTTTTTAAGTGTTACTTGTAAAGGATATTTGTACAAATATCTTTCCTGTGTTGGTCAACTTATCTGTGTGCTTATTACTCTGACACGCTTCAAACTGAGAATATTGTTCATTCATAACTGTTCCCTCCTCTTCATGTTATAACATTTTGCTATGTTGTATTTTTAAGATGAGCCTGGTTAAAAAAACGCTTGTAAAAATGTTAGTGTTTTCGAGGGATATTTTCTAACAAGTCATTTCATACGGTCTCAACTTCTCTCTTGTTTACACTCTGCACCAAACCCTTCTAGTCCCTTCTCTCCTCTCTAACCTCAGTGTTATATTCCCACACTGAGTTAAAAGCAGTCTTCTTCTTTTTCTTATCTGTATATCAGACAGAAGCTGCTCACACCTCAGTGCTCTGCATTCATTGTTATTGTTCACACTGACCTCAGCAGCAACCTGACTAACTAAGTGAACAGAGAGGGAACTGTACAAGAAAAGCACATATTTATACATTGAATAATATTCCTAATCTTGTACTGTTCATGCAGGCATCTTAACACATCGTGTTTGGACTTATGGTCTGGTTTAATTTAGCAACAAAGTCATACATTAGTATTAGCAGCAGTTATCAACTGCCTTAAAAGGAATTAACAAGTGACTTGATGTGCTCCCCTTCTCTAGTGTATCAAATGTATATATTTTTTACATTTTAGAAACTCAACTTCCATAAAAACATGATATAGTTCTCATTATCAGTTCAGCTCTAGTTAGATAGATTCATGTTTATAATAATGTCTGCTGATAATTGCAGATCTTGAAGTTCTTGTTACAAAAACTCCATAAACACATTTGTAGTTTGATGCACTGTTTGTTATTAACCAATTGTTAACTTAAGTTATTCACTTTGATCATAGTTTCTGGTGTGCTCTGTGTTTCAGTGGTTCAGGGTCAGCGTGGCTGGGGAGTGAATTACACTTCTACTGAGATCTGTGCAGTGAA